AGAACTCCCACTCCCAAGGGGCCCAGGGAGACGGAAGTAGATACACACACATTCCAGGTTTGCTCATATTCCACATCTGTCTATTTGCTGGATTCGTCTGCCCCTCAGCTTCCCACATGTTCCATCATTTTTCCTGGGAGTCGACGTTCTCTTACTTTTCTGGGCAGGGAGGAAAAGAAGAACAATCGGCCACTGAAACTCAACACGGTTCGACTAGCACAATAGCGTGAAGCAGACGATCGCCAGTCAACGAATAGCGGTGCGCCGACCTGTCACATGCAAACTCATGCGATGAACTGTGGCCTGTCTAGACGAATGTCGATGTCTGTGTCGATGTCTGTGTCGATGTTCTGTCTCTCATGGGTTGCGCTTTTCACAGCGCGGGTTCCCCGATCGGAGCTCTCGACACCATCACCAGCACTGGATCCCCGCCGCGGACCGCACAAGAGACGGCCGAGGCGACGCTGCTTCGCACGTCCAGACGCCCGTTCGCCTCGACGTTCGCCATGAGGCGGGTTCCTGGAACTCTGAACGTGTGGCGTCCAACACCGGATAGCAGCGCAGTCCAAAACGCATGAAACGCCTCTGGGAGACGTTTGCAAGCGCCTGGAAAGATGCCTGGCGAGCTTGCAAGCTTGATAAAAGAAGCTTCGTAGAAACTTCCAAGGAGCATCGAAAGAGGTACAGAAGGGTTTCTGCCACGCGTAGTGGGAACGACTCAGAAAACGCTTCTCGGCACAAGTTACCGGTTCAAGCAAGCCGCTGCGAGGCGGAAAGAGCTGCCGGGCCACCCTGCGCTGTTGGCTTATCATATGATCCCTCGTAGCTCTCAAGGAGTTGTCAGGGAACTTAGAAGTGTTCCCATCCTTTTAGGCGTATCGTGTACATCCGCCGGCTTCAGACGGCTCTCGGGCCAGCTTCCACCGTTTCAGCTGGAGCAATGGGTCTGTCGCAGATGGGTCCGCGGAGGAGAGGCGCAACCGTACTTGCAAGAGCAGGCGCCTGGATGCAGTAGATTGCGCGCTGGATGCAAACAGTTTCGCGCCGATGCGCTCGTGCATCCTTTTTAATGCATTCGCTGTCGCCCGCAAGACTTCACACGCCCCCCCTTCGCAACACTAGCGCACGATTTGAACGCACTGGCACACAGTGGACGAACGATTGCGCTTCTCGCCGCCGACCCCGCCTGCGCGCCAGACCCGCTGCTCCAGCTCAGACGCCGACCTCCCGCCGCCTCCCGCCGAGGAAGAGCTGTCGACCCCGTCTTCGGTGGCAACTCACGGGAGCCTCCCATACCATATTGTCGGCTCTTGCGAATCGGTACTAAATCGACGCTAGTCGACGCTAGATCGACGCTAACCGACGCTAAATCGGCGATATCTCAGCGACTCCCAGACGCTGATCGACGCCAGCCGACGCTAAAGACTGAATTAAGAGGGTATACCAGGCCCCCGAAACCTGGGCACGCCGCCAGAAACGAGGGCGGCCGCGACAACAGTGGGCGACCTCTGCGCACAGAATCTCGATTAAACGAGCAACAGCCATCGCAGTCGGGTCTTGGTGGGCAAGGAAATCACTCGGCAACGCCTTCTTCGTATTTCCCACGGAGAGTTGCCCATCGCGCGCTCTTCTGCCCACGCGCCCTTCCAGATGCTCGTCTCCTCGTTCGCACCGGGGCCCCATGACTTGCTACCGAACCCGTCGGCCCTCGACGGCGAGGCCCTGCCTGGAGCGCCCCGCGCGGTGGCCCCCGGAGGCCCGGCAGCGCCCCCCGCCGCCCCAGGGGGGAGGCTGGAGAGGCCGCGAGCAGAGGCGAGGCCCCACCGCGGCCTCTTCTTCGTGAGCGCGCCCCCCGGGGGCTCCGGGGCCTGAGCTCTGCCCCGGTGGCAGGGTGCATCTATGGAAGCTGTACTATACACAACAGGATGCGTCGTGATGCCAAGCTTCTGTGCGCGGTTCGCCACAGACTCAAGGGCCCCGAACGGCGATGGGAACAACATGCGTGCAAGCATCGAGGCAAGAGCAGGGGAGGAGAGGAGCACAGGACCAAGAGGAAGAAAGACAAGAGGATTGCAGTGCTACTCCACAGCATCGACGTCTGGAGGTTTGCTTGGATCAACGCGGGGGCTGCTGAGTGGACGGGGGCTTATACGTGGAGGCTAAGGCGGGTGAAATCTGGCCTGAGAACGGCTTGGTGGATTCGCAGACTTCGCTAACTGGGCGGAGCCCACTAAGCACGGATCGTCACCCCCCTAAGAAATTCAGGGACCTTCTAACCCACTTGCAAGCTGTGGTAGGCCACACTTGTATGCATGTAAATGTATGTAGATGGCCGCACAGTCAAATATACATATACATATATATATATATGTATATATATATGCATTTATCCATAGGTTTACATGTGTGTAACAATATGCGTAGCGTACATATATATATATATATATACATATATGTGCATACACATATACATACACATATACATATACAAATACATAAA